GTTTCTGTCACAAATTGACTTATTTAGGTTGGAGTGCTAGTGGGAAATTTGGAAGTAAAGGTTTTCACTTGAATTCCACATTAGACTGATGGTATCATTAGATGGTACAAACACATTCACCCTTTCTTGGACTTCTTGGCTATAAAATTGCCTCTTTAAAATAATGACGCTTCCTAACTTGAAACCGCTGGAGCTTCAGATAAAGTCACTTCATTTAATTTACCAAAGCGGTTTATTAATGTGTTGCCATGTCAGTTAGTTGGGCCCCATCTTGTGGCCAAAGCAAAAGAATAAAAGAAAGCACATCACTTAGCAGCTGAGGATTTGTAACATTCAGTTTTCCTTTAGCACAATGATGACCGTTTCACCTGCTAAATGACTGGAAAAATATATGTTAATTAAAAAAAAAAAAAGACAGCTGCCATCTCTGAAAAACAACCAAACAAACTCTGAATTTGATAACTTTACTTTTGAACTGTTGACCTCAGCCTTGAAGTTACATATCTGTATTTGTGTTCAAGGTCTATGTGTCACTGGAATTTTTTTTTTTCCTCTTTTGTCATTTGGGACTGTGGAATAAGACCAGTGTGAGAAGACTGAAGATTGTAATATAAATGTGCCAACAAATAAACACCAGTATTTCACATTCAGGCTGGTGTCTGTGTGTTCAATACGTCTCCAAGTGTGCTCTCTGTAGAGTATGTAGGTATTTACAACAACTGGAATATTGTAACTCTGTAGCTAACTCACCCATCAGTTTGTTTTAACTCTTGAGGTTCATGTGCAAAAAGAGTTGTTAGGTCTACTTTCAAGATGTCAGCAGCAGGACATCTCAGGACTGTCAAGACACTTTCTTTCATTAGATAAATCTGCTTCTAAGCAGATTTGTCAAGTCAGATTTGTGTTGAAACATCGTAGAAATGCCAGATAAAATTAAAAGAAACTGGTTAACATTTTGTGAGTCTTCAGTTGCAGCTACAACCTAATTGGGTTTCTCATGGTCAAGTATAGTTCCTGACATATTCAGTAGTATCAGGGTAGATTGACATCCTTTCCAGGGTTGGTAGTACTTTTTGTCAACATAGGAAAATCAATCCATCCATTTTCTTCCACTTATCCAATTTAGGGTCGCACTACACCCTGGATAGGGTACCAGTCCATCACACACAAGAGCCCAGATCCATCTTTGCTTTCAAGAAAACTATGAGTCAATGTTAAAAACTTTAAAAATAAATTTTCCCCAGTGTAAAAAGGTTCTGTTGGGTTAATTATAACTTTGGCAAAAAGGCCTAATTTAGTATGCAGGTGAGTCATCGAGTCCTAGATCATTTCAACTTGACGTTACCATAACCACCTAATGTTTTCTGTGTGGACTAACAGTGAGGGAGATAACTGTAAAAATGACCCTCCACAAAATTTACCCACCAGACTAACATCCTGCCAAAAACAAAGGCATTTGGGATTTCATTTGACACCATCTCAGTCTCACTGTGGCACCTCTCTTGACACAGTCATTAATTATCAAAGTATTTTAAGACTCAATTAATCCTGAGCTGGTCCACCATCACATTGCTCAAATTTATAACCAACATATGTGGACATTCGCCTGCTCATCTTACAAAACACTTTAAAAAGAAAAGCACAAACAGACCGAGTTGTATTTGGATTTTCTTTATTGTACACAAAGAGAGAGTGAAATTTACTGAGGCTGCTGTCCTCTGCCGCGTCCAAAGCCACCTCTCTGCAACAGAAAAATGTTGTCAGTCGACCAACATGTTCAATACAAGTTTTCCAGCTGCACTGTATAAACCACATTTAGCTTTCTGACATTCCTTTTTAAAACCCATGTAAAACCGCACCCACAAATTTAGGGAGGAGTGCCTTTGTTGTTCTGCTGTAGAAAACAATTCTTATAACAGAAAAACATTAAAGATCAAGACAAGGTTTTTGTTGCCAGCCCATTTCTCAAAATACCCGCATGAAACAAAGGAAATGTACTTACGAACTGGAACTCTGTGGCAGCTCCAGCACCGGCCTCTGCCTTCTTGTCAGCACCAGCTAAAGGAGAAGTTATGAGTTAAGAGGTCAGCCAGTAACTTTCAGAAATGTCAAACTTGTTAAAACTTCATCATAACATGTCAAATATATACCAAAATTAGACCGGGGGGAGGTTGGGGGTAGTAATAATAATTTTTACTGTTGTTTTCTTTGCAGATGTTTTTGATAAACAAGTTTAAAGTTCACACCAGCAAATTGCCTTCTGAACATCAGAATGATGTGATGGGGGTTTCATATGCCTCATTTTTAAAATCCAAATCCTCCACATACATTGATTTGTCTTTGTCATATAAGCTCAATCCTTTCAATAATATATATTTGATAACATGTCATTACCCATGTTATGATTTCATCTGAATCATTGTGATCATTTTGTTGTAGAACAGTTTTCTAAAGAAAACATGATTTAGATTATCACCTAAGAACATATTTAACATGTCATTTGCTTTTGTTTTGGCACAAGCACTACTGGTTTGGAAACAGGTTGTGATTTGGCTTAAAACAAACCATTTTACAACATTACATTTACCATTAACGTTTAACATTTTCCAGGGCATTGGTTTCTACCGCCATCTAAAGGTGACATAGCCAGTGTAAAGTTTTTACATGCAGTGATTCAGACAGCCACTAGAGGTCCTCCAACTTTAAAATTTTATACAAATCTACTCAAAGTTTATCAAGGCGCTCAGATGTCTGCAGATGCCTGTAGTTTTTGGAGGCAGGTAATTACAGAGCTTTGTGCGGTTAAAACTATTGATGTTAATATCTGAGTGACCAGCCTATAAGAATTAGGACTAAGGTGCTCATTCAGACAAGAGTAGACAAACTATAGGAACATGTGATGGGTCACATCACTGCATTTTCACATTTCACTCTGAAAAATCAAGACATTTTATTAATGCATAACACCACCGTATGATTTAATGATCCAAAATTACCATTTTAGTTTGCACCATTCATGTAAACATCACAAGACCACAAGAGCAACTCATAATGTGACTAGTATAGTTGGTGTTATACGTACGGGGTGCAGCAGATCGCCTGTAAGCATCTCTGTCAGCCTCCCCACGGTTAAGGCGGGCGGGCCTCTCTCCTTCCACTCCTGCAGGTAAAAAGATGACAAAACATTAAGCTCCAGTTTTCCTAGCTTTCCAAAAGAGGAAATTCAATAGGCTTTAAAATTCTTTAATTTTAATGCTAACAATTCTCACTAAATATGAGTCTTTGGACTCCGGGGTCCCTCTTTTGAGTTTATTAATGAACTACTTAAATTTGTATGCTTTACAACACCCTCTAACAGCAAGAGGACACCATAACATTTTATGTGGCACTTAATTGCTGAAACCTATTTTGCATATTTTAATAAGATCCAATTGAAGATGCCAATTGAAACTGCAACTTCAGCTTCAACGAAAGGCAAGGAAATGATGAAATAAGATTGTTATGATGTAGTTCAGAAGTCAATCAAAAAATTTTCATTGATAAAGAGAAAAAAATAAACCTTATTTAGAACAGATCACACTCAGGATCCAGAACTCTAAAACAATGTGCTGAAGTTTAGAATAGCAACTTCGATTTCTGGAAAACTGTGTTTGAGCACCAGATTTTTTCACAATCAGCTTCAATATCATATATAACCTCAGGAAGCATTAACATATTAAATACCTTTACTAGTATTTCTGGCTTCAGGAAATGAAAAATTAAAACTTATTAGAAACAAGCATGTATGATAGATGTTTTACCCTTGGGCCTGGGCCTTGCGGTCTCAGGGCGGGTCTGGCGGCGCAGGGTGGCGGGCACGATCTCAGGGGGAAGATGGAGGAAGTCTCTCAGGTACTGGATGCCCTCATTGGTGAGGTACCAGTAGAAATGGCGCCAGGCAAATTGCTCCTTGACGTACCCACAGGACTTCAGAGACTGCACGGAAAAGCACAATTATTATACTGACTACCACAATAAATCAGTACAAAATCTAGGTTGGTATGGCAGGACTGTGCAGAAAGTATCTTTAGGCTTCTTGCTCAGGTAAGTGCACAGAAAGCAAGTAAGTGCACAGCAGTGCTAACCACCACACACCATACTGCCCTACAATCATTCCAAAAGATAAAAATGAACTCAGATGCAATAAATTCTGAGCCGACACCAACACCCATGTGAAAAATGTCGCAAAAAAAAAAAAAAAAGTATTTCTCGTTGTCATTTACTCCCCTCATCATGCCATGGAATCAAAATTATCTTCAATTTAAAAAAACAACTCTTTCCATGAGTTTAGGCCTGTCACGCATCTTTGAAAGAGCAAATAATCAGCCACACAGCTTTACGAAACCCGAGAGGGCACAAAAGATACACATCAGTAACATCCTACTGTAAATGCCATTTGCCATGAGTGTGACGGCAGTAAAAATCTGCTAAATGTTACATCTTCTGTGAAAGCCGAAGAAGAAAAATAAAAATAAAAAATAAACAGATACATGCTGATTTTTTCCCCACATACAACAGTGGACCAAATCAAACCGTCTATTAAAAACTGGTGGGGCACACAAAGAGGGGACAGGTCCTGACATTTTGTTTCTATTATGGCAGGCACTGCATAAAACACTGGGATGTGAGCGCCATGCACAAGGTGGCGATGGCATCAGCCATTTGTATACATTACACAGTAAACTCTACAAAAGACACACTGCAGAGGTCTAAACCAAGGACTTATAGGTGTACCAGATGACCACATGCCACAGAACTAAATGCAGCAGCCTAGGTTTGCCTTAGAGCCAAGTCCTTTTGCTGCATGCATTCCCTTACTTCCTCTCTTCTTAACGGCTCTATATTATAAATACAAAAAGAAAAGTCTAAATCTGCACTCACTCCCACTCTTCTGGGAGGATAGGAAGAGAGTCCCAAACTAGAGTATCCTGAATTTGCCTCGGGTTTAGCCACCCCAATCTGGACCACGCCTAAACAAAAATCTTCCCGAAGAGGTGTAATAACAACATGCCCAAACCATCTAAATTGGCTCATTTTGATGCAGAGGAGCTTCACTTCAGAATTAATTGCTGAAAAGAAATATAATTCTCATCCCTCAACTTTCTCTAACCCAAACATGTAAGGGGGACATTGTCCAGACAGCATGGTACTGTCAAACTACTAAACAACTTTCACAGGTACACAACCAGGACTTGATATCTGGACTGACAAATGACGTCTTTCCACTTAAAAACACATAAACCCAGAACTCCTAAGTGATGGTCAAAACACATTCATGATCACTTTGTCACATGCCTCCCACTTTCTTCTGCCCACGAGCCCATTTACAGTCACTACATCTCAGTTAATTCTAGTCTTGGTGAGAACTTTACAAGCTGGAGCTTCGTTCTTTCTCACCTGCATCGCTTTCATCACGTGAAGGTTGGGTACATTCTTGTCAGCAAGCTCAGGATGCTTGGCCAGGTGGACGTCTTTCTTGGCCACCATGACTCCCTCCTTGAAGAGGAGCTCGTAGATAGCAATGCGGTTCTTCTTGGGCATCAGCATCTGCATTAAGAGACAACGTGCAAACGTGCATGAGCTCCCTGGAACTCAACCCATACTTACAGCAGCCTCAATAATAGCATGCTAACTGGCTAGCGTGCTAAGACACATCTAGTAATGAAAATCAAATCGCTGAAGAGATAATCAGCGGACGCTTTAATAACTCAACACATCGGGAATGTTTGGACACATTCACATCAACAGCCCCTCTGTTTTATAGAAATTAAAAGCTAATATCTGAAGACCGCGTCACAGGAGAAAAATGGCAACCGTTCGTGAACGCCGAAACCGGGGTTACTTCTCCACTTCTAAGCCGAATATCAACGACTGAGAGGCGTTTAAGGCTAAAATACGCATATGTCTCCATTTATAATTTTAATAACAATGAAAAAACGATTATTTTTATTTCACAAAATCTGAGATGGTGAAGATATATTTGGATTATTACGCTGGGTCTTACTTTACCTTTCCACTTGTTAAGGGACCGGAGCCGGAAGGAAAGTTTCTCTTCGATCAGGAAAGTTTATGCTGTGGCGCGGGCCGGCTGGGAAGGCTCGCCCTCTGCTGGTGTGGAGGGGAAACGTATCCTGTGTTCAATATGTAGCTGCAAAGTTTGGGGACATCCTTTAAAACCAGCTGCACGAGCTGATCAGCGACTTCTTCTTAGTTTAAAAAAGACGTGAGGGGTATTTCAAAACTCAACAAAATCATCCACTAGTGCTCTGTGCTTCTTCTCCTTCTGTATGACTTTGTTTATTTGTATTATTAATATTACAAATAATAAATAAATAAATACGGTAAATTTTTTTTACACAGCAGTGATTCAAAGGCTTCAGAAACATGGACCCTGGATAGCAAGATGCAGCCCTCCAAGAAAAGAAAGCTACTCCTGCAGAAAATCTTCATATCTACCTGGAATATTTTTAAATATGCATAAGAGCAGACAGACCTTTTTTTTACTGAAGGGATGTGGCATTTAAAAATCAAAACAATAACCCCAAGAAATGTGTTGTATGCAGTCCATTTATTTTCATGGAAGCTTCTTTCAGAATAAAGAAGTAAAAATTTCGGGGTATTTTCCCAGCCTGACTCGAAATACATTTGGTCTGTTTCATACATACATACTTTTTCTTTAAGAGTAAATAGTATTATGGGCTATTTCTACTCCATTTTTACTTTATTTTTACACAGACTACACACAGTCACAGTGTGTTAACACACAGGCAATGAAGTATATTCAGTATAATACATATATAGCAAATAATTAGATTTTTTGTCAGTTCAGTTACATCACAAAGCTTGGTATAAGTGAATGATAATTTTGTGGCAGTCATGTCTGCAAGAGTGAGTAATCAAAGAAGAAATAAAAATAAGATTATCTGGATAACAGCAATTTGCCACTGTCCAAAAATACTTGTTCTTAGTACAGTGAAAATTAGAAAACATGTGCTTTCGGCTTCTCTAATACAAGGATTCCATCTTATACATATTTTGACACAGTTTCCTGGAAACTTTGTAATAATAATAACAACAACAACAACAACAATAACAATAATAATGATAATAATAATGATGATAATAATAATAATAATAGGAAGAAGAAAATTGGGCATTTATTTTGAAAGACCTTCCCGGAAAACAACCCCTCCGTTACGGTTGGTTTGATTTGAGCCGTCTCACCCTCCCCCATCTGGCGGCTCCTCTCAGCGGCGCGTTTACCGGCGACAGAAAGGAGGCAGTCTCGGGTGATGAATGGAATTATTACATTTTGAGAGCTCAAAGGAAGCTGGATTATCAATTCGTATAAATTCGTAAGTTATTCTTGATTTCTTTCATAACCGCGTGTCTGCTATCAACAGCTAGCCACCGGCGGTTGATTTTTGTGATGAAGTAGCTTAATTCAGAGCAAATATTACTGCTGTCGGCGATAACGAGGCAGCAAGCGACCGCGACGATTGCCAACGAGATTCAATTAAAGTCCACAGATTTAAAAGTTATTTTTTTTATAAAAGAAATACAAGTCTGCCTAAGATTTGTTATTATTTGCCTCCCTTATCTGTGCCTAAAACCCGCAGTTTGTATCTAACACCGCTGCTCTGTTCTGCTGCTTCATGACACTTATTCATATAAAAAATGAGCAAAGATCAGCACATCTACAATCTGAGTCCTTAGTAGGAGTTTCTGTGAAGAAAGTGCATGAAGCATTGGAGAGCCGGCCGGCAGCAGCCTGTGCGGGCTACTGCAGAGGGCAGGGAGGGACGTCTGAAGTAAAAAGCTTGTCTCTGGGCAAAAGCCCGTGCTTCCTCCAGACCAGCACATTTCTTTGATTTTTTGCTGGAGATCAGCTGGTGGTAAATCAGGCCAGACAGGGCTGCTGACCTCCCCCTGAGCAGAGGCTCTCATCTCTAAGTGTTAGCGAGCTCTGTCCACGGTTCTGAACTCAGATCTTTGGTAGGCTCTGTACAGACAGACCGCGAGAGATCAGACCACTGGAGACTGTGCATCTAGAATGCAAAAGGGAAAAAGTTGTGTAAGAACCATAGATTAAAATGTGCATCATACATCAATTTAATGTGCAATTAAAAAAGAAACACTCCAAGAACAGTTTTGCCTTTTTTCACTTCCTGTGGTTCTGAAGGCAGCTATTAGAAACCTTCTCAGTTTGATCTTGCAAACTCCAAAGTCTGTCATTTTACCAGGAGGACTAACAGTTACATAAACATGTTCATACTGTAAGGATAAAAGTGCTGTATAAACGTGTGCGTGATTGGCTGAATGAGACTTACCAAAAGTAGAGAAGTGCCCGAATTGAGTAGAAAGGCACTGTGGAAGTACCACTCCATTTACTATGTGCTTTAATATCTGGCTGAATAGTTGTGTATTAAACTGACAACTGGGGTTGCCTGCAGCTCTTCTAATCCATTACCAGAAAGATGTCGAGGGTGTACTGCTAATTTGATTTTGAACTTCCTGAAGTAATTATTTCCCAAAATACTCTTTTAAAGTCACTTTTATTTTATTTTTTACAACAAAAAAATCTGATGTTTTATCTTCTCCATAATTGTAAACACTTGAGATCTGACAGTTAAAAGTTGGATAAAACACAGCATTTGTGATACTTTTCTGGAGAATTGATGAAATTGTGATTTTTTTTTATTTTTTGTTTTTTACAAATAAACATTTACAGATTAAACTTTAATTATTATCCAAGCAGAGTCTTGTCCATCCAGTGGACTGAGCTTTGCTTTGAGTCTATAAGCTTATTCAAAATCCTTTGCCTCTCATGTTGTTTACTATAAGGAAATTTTTGCAGCTCATTTCTCATCATTAAACTCATCATCCTGCTATGACAAGGCTTAAACAAACACTGCCCTGTCATAACAGGCACCATTTGCATGAGAAAACACTGCAAGCGAGTTGGTGCTCTTTTTTTTAACGATGAACTCCTGAAGGAATGTGATCTTTCATTGTGGGTGAAATTTCTTGACACTAAAAAGTGTTATTTATATTTATTTTGTTTTATTCTTTTTTATTTGAAATTACTTTTCTCTTACTAAGATGTGTATTTTGTCCTTTTTTATTCTATTCTTCTAACAGTTGTACCAAGGAAATCTCCCACATTTTGGGTGTATTGTCTATAAACTTATTATGTGAATATTAGGAAGGTTTATTCAGCTACGATGACTGGAGCAGTAATGAAAATACTAAAGACATGATAGCAGCTCAGTCCATTTAGGCATGTAGACACTGGGATTTTTTCACAACCTTTAACTTTAAGCTGAAAGGAGAGCACTTATTATAACCAAGGTATGCAGAAGAGCATCTCTGAGTGCACGACACATTGAACTTTGAAGCAGATGGGCTGCAACAGCAGAAGACCACGCTAGGTGCCACAGATGTTAGATAAGAACAGCAAACTAAGGTTGTAATTTGCATGGGCTCACCAACATCAGATAACAGAAGACTGGAAAAACCTTGTCTCATCTGACGAGTCTTGATTTTTAGCGTCAGAATTTGGTGTAAACAATATAAAAGCATGGATCCACCCTAGTTTATATCATCAGATTAGGCTGATAGTGGTGGTCCAGCAGGATAATGTGTCATGTCACAAAGCTCATATCATCTCAAACTGATTTCTTGAACTTGACGATGAGTTCACTGCAATCAAATGGCCTCCACAGTCACCAGATCTTAATCCAACAGAGCACCTTTGCTATTTGGAAAAATGGAAGATCCTCATTGTCTATTTGCAACCAACAAAACTGCACGAACTGCGTGATGCTATCATCTCAATATGGATCAAAATGTCTGAGGAATGTTTCCACCACCTTTTTGGATCTATACCAAGAAGAGTTAAGGCAGTTCTGCTGGCAAAATGAGATCCAATTGAGTACTAACAAGGTGTAGTTAATGAAGTTGCCAGCAAGTGTAATATATCATGAATTGATGCTTCACCACAACAGTGGGGTCTGCCCCACAGTTTGAGGACCACAAACTTAAAGAGGGAGGCCTGAGTGCACACATGTTAAAGAGCTTTCATTTGAGTGCCAGCTTGGATTAGTTTATCTGAAAAATTAGTGACACTCATTTGATTTGCTGCTGGTGGTTCAGCCCCTCTCCATTTTTGTAGGAAGGGTGACAGATGAAGTATCACTGTTAATGTAATCAATTAGACTAAAACCTAGCCCGTCTTTGCTTTTTGTATGAATAATTAGGGATATGTCATTCCCAGTGGGAATAGACACAACAGTTTGCTTCCAGTTGTCATTTGTACTTTCCATGATTGGCACGTCACATCTGGTGCACCCTGCCGATGTTAGACGATTGGAAGAAAGCAATTAAGCTTGAGTATTTCTTTCTATGTGTCCCTTTAGCCTTTGTAACCTAGAATATGGCTTCAGACATCCTAAGCTACTCCATCTATGTCTGGCTTTGGATGAATGCAATTAAAATTTTAATTTCATCTTAGTTGCTCTGAGAATTACCCCGACATTAAATAGATTGTACATGTAATTGTTCCTGAGTTACATATTTGCTCTCTAGCAAAACAGATGAGTGCTTTTGCTGAATGTTTTGAAAAGTGCTGTGTGTTTGGACAAACTCTCCGGGTAATTATTTCCGTCGCTAAATGGAAGGGATCCACTTATAGCTATCTCAATACATTTTTAGTGGCTCAGGCTTTTAGGTAAACGGTTGAGAGAGCAGGGCCTTCGATTCTGCTGTGAACTAGAAGGTAATTGGTGTCTCTGATAGGATCCTCACAGGGGATCATGAGAGAAAGCAGGGCTGTTTTGCAAACCCTTAAAAGTTTGTATCCTCCATCCTTTAGAGCTGAAGTGACACATGAAATGATTTGTGTTGTTAGCTTCTCCTTAAATACCTGTAGATGAGTTGTGTTGTTTTGTGATCCAGTTGTTTTCGTGTAGTGTGGTTTCAACTAGAAAAAGGGTAGAAAAAGTATAATTTTGCTAGTTTTTTTCTGCTGCTGTTCCAATAGTAAGATGGATTAGGCTCATGTCTGCTATCTGGATCTCTTTTAAGACTAAGTTTTGAGAGCTTTGGTCAAAACTGACTTTGTTCATGATTTTTCTGTAGACCGACTAATCAGTCAGCAAATCTGTTCAGCTTAATAGATGTTTTAAAGGAAGCATCTGCCTGTACATATGTGGTTTGGTATGAACCTCTCAGATCCCCCTTTAAAGCAAACCAGTAATGAAAGCCAAATCTATTGTATTTATTTACCTGGGTAATATGTTAATGACTTATTTTCTGTTTCAAAATTGTCTGCCCAGCCACTGCTTGTGTTTAGGTACTGTCTGACTTCACTGCACTGTGCCTTTAGATTCTTAATCAGCACAGTCTGACAGTGACTGTGCAGTGCAGATCAGCTCCTAGCACAATCCAGTCATCACATTTATACTCCCATAAATTCAGTTCTTCAGCTGCTCTTTCATTACCATGAACTAGAAGTGCTTTTAAAACAGACATGTTAGAAGCAAAATATTGTAGACATTACCTTTTCTCAGTTCTGATTTTTTTTCCTTTTGTGAGAAAAGGTATTTTAAAGGTAAATGGGTGATTTCATAGGTTTATATTCTGTTTTTTGTGTATGTTTTGTTAACTTGACTCAGCCTTTCCCCCCTAGAGGTTTAAAGCACTACAGACCAAACAGTTAATGGAAAAAAAAGTAATTACATGCAGCCCAAGCCTAACATTTAAATTAAAAAGGCATTGAGGAAAATAATACTTAGTTGCAGTCTTTATGAAAATCTGTATTTCAAACTGGGGCTCAGGGCGCTGAAAGTTGTCCCAAGTTAAATGGATCTAAAAATAATTATAGACAAAAGCAATTATTTTTCTTGCTTTTCCTCAAATTCTAATTCATTTGCAAATTGTTTTTACCCATTAGGGCAGTACAGTCTTTCAGTCAGATGCCTCTGAAATGTAATAATTTCATCAGGCACAGTATTTTTCCCGAGAAGACATTCTTTAGCTGTAGTTTACCACAACTCAGGCTTTTGTGAGTATCAGTGAGAGCTTCACTGAGCAAATGCACTTGGATAAGTTGATGTGATATGTGTCACGTGATGTGCATGCCTCTATTTACTGGAGTGTAATATATCAGTGCGTATCTCTGGGGCATCTTTATTGTAGGTGTTATGTTACAAAAGGGCCTCACAGCTTTAGGGGAACAAGAAGAAGCTATTAGAGGTTGTTGGCTGGAGGTTTGCTTCGGTCCTCTGAGGTTCCAGCCATCAGATTTATAGCATCAGTGAAGAGCTTAAGAGTCAAATGAGAAGGAAGGAAGAGG